GTTGGGGGGTGGGGAGCTGGGCGCTGGGAGGGGTGGGATCAAAGGGATTTGTCTCTGCTTTTTGTTTATCTGCAGTGTCTGCAAATTGAAGGGTGTCGGTTCTGAATAAAAAGCCAAGAAGAGAGAAGCATTATGAGTTTCTAGATTAATTCTAAAAAGCAAATGTAAGATAGTATCAATCAAAATATCTCTACTTCCGTGTGTCTAAGAATGAAGAGCATGTCACAAAAATCTTCCTTACAGCTTTTATAGGCGCTGCTCCAATGTCCGTGCTGTCACATGCCCCAGGTTTCCTCCCTGGAGAATCCAATCAGCACGCGGAGCCCTGACTCCGTACATCCTGGCCCAAGTTCTCAGCGCTTTGTTTTCACCTCATTCGCTCATGTTCTTCATCTGTCTTCGGCGTTGCTTTTGTAATTTTTTAAAAATAGGGTCTCTTTTCCCTTCTGTGAATTCCAATAAGCATTAATTTTTGTGACGGCTTTATTTTTCTCGTCTCTTCTTTCCTAAGCTTCCCAGTTAATTTCCTTGAGCCCTCAGAGCTATTTTAGGGTCTTGCATTGACAGGGAAATTGCTTCCCCGGCTTTAAAAAAATTCATTGCCAAATCAGTGTTTGCAATTTTCATCGGCTTTTTGGCAACACTTTCCAGGTGAATATTCTTTACTTGCCATTTATTTTTCTTGTTGTTGTTACTGTCTCTTGTGTGTGTGTGTGTGATATATATAAATATTTATTGTAGTAAAATATAACATAAAACTGACCATGGTAACCACTTCTAAGTGTCCAGCTCAGTGGCATTAAGCACATTCATATTGTTGGGCCACCATCACCACTGCCCATCTCCAGAACTTTCCATCTTCCCAAACTGAAACTGAAGCACTAAACACCAGCTCCCCAGGCCCCTCAGCCTCTGGTAACCACCCTTCTACTGTCTGTCTTTCTGGATTTGACTTCCTAGATTCCTCCTCTGAGTGGAATCGGACACTATTAGTCTTTTGTGCCTGGCTTACTTCACTCAGTTCTGTTGAAACGACTTTCTTGGACAAAGATGGGGCTGCTCCTGTCTGGGGTGCCACGTCAGCAAAACTCAGATAACCTTCGTGCTCCTGTGGGTGCCCTGCTGGGCCAGACACAGCCGATCCCCAAACATCAACACCTCGGGGCCTTCTCACCCCGAACAAGGTCCACCGTGTGGCCCCAGCCGATCAGATCTTGTCTGTCTGTCTCTTCCGTGTTCCTCTTTTTTTACCCAGTCAGAGCTTCCTGCCTTCCACTCACTGTGCATTTCCCCGAATGGAGACGGTCTGCTTCAGGAAGTGCTATAAAGTTTGTTTGTAAAAAAGACCCTAATTGTCTTCCTTAGTCTTTACAAACAAAACAGCCCTAACCGGTTTGGCTCAGTGGATAGAGTGTCAGTCTGCAGACTGAAGGGTCCCAGGTTCGATTCCCACCAAGGGCATGTAACTTGGTTGCGGGCACATCCCCAGTAGGGAGTGTGCAGGAGGCAGCTGATCAATGTTTCTCTCTCATCGATGCTTCTAACTATCCCTCTCTCTTCCTCTCTGTAAAAAATCAATAAAATATATTTTAAAAAAGCACACAAAACCACCAGTTAACATGATGTCTTCAGGGTTCATTCATGTTACACATTATCAGAATTTTATCCCTTCTTAAGGCTGAATAGTATCCCATTGCAGATACATTCCACATTTTATCTAGCCATTCGTCCATGAATGGACATTTGGGCTTTTTCTACCTTTTAGCTATTATGAATAAGGCTGCTATGAACATGAACACACACATATCATATCTTCTTTCAATCATTTTGGGTGTGTTCCCAGAAGTGAAATTGCTGGGTCATATGGTAATGCTATCTTTAATTTTTTCAGTAACCTCCGTAGTGTTGGCAGTGGCTACACCATTTTATATTCTCACAAGCAGTGCACCAGGGTTCCAATGTCTCCACAATCTCATCAGCACTTGTTACTTTCTGTGTGTTTTGGATTTTTATAGTAGGCATCTTAATGGGGTGAGGTGGCAGCTCACTGTGGTTTTGACTTGTATTGCCCTAAGTCAGCAGTTCTCAACCTGTGGGTCGCCAACTTGTGGGTTGCGACCCCTTTGGGGATCGAATGACCCTTTCACAGGGATTGCCTAAGACCATGGGAAAACACATTTATAATTACATATTGTTTTTGTGATCCATCACTATGCTTTAATTACATTCAATTTGTCACAATGAAAATACATCCTGCATATCAGATATTTACATGACGATTCATAACAGTAGCAAAATTACAGTGATGAAGTAGCAACGAAAATAATTTTATGGTTGGGGGTCACCACAACACGAGGAGCTGTATGAAAGGGTTGCGGCATGAGGAAGGTTGAGAACCGCTGCCTTAAGTGATTAGTGATGTGCTTATTCTTGGCCATTTGTGTATCTTCTTTGGGGACATGCCTGTTCAAGTCCTTTGCCCATGTTTTTAACCGGGTTGGTTGTTTTTATTATTGAGTTAATATGTTTGTGGAGACCTTACCTCGGCTGCTGTTTTGTATGGACCACCTATTGGTGGGAGATTCAAATAAGGAAGAAGCCAGGGCTGTGTCCTGGCACAACTGCTCTTTCTGACGTGGGGCCTTCGACTTGAGATTCAGTTGTCCCTTCTCCCAGGCAAAGGCACTGGTCAGCTTGCAGACTGTTCCCAGTGCAGCTGGTGTCCTCCCTCTGTCTCAGGGACAAAGTGCATCCTACAAATATGGCTGTTTCTCCTTTTCTCCCGTCTTCACCGTTTCTTGGAACCAATCCAGGCTAGTGCCAACCCGCACAGCTTATTCTTACTATTTGAAAAAGGGACGTTAGTTTTGCACTTTGCGAAAACCCCTCCCCTTGAACAGGGCCTTTCCCCTAAAATCTGTAGCCATTGCCTACCTTTTCCGAAATCTGCAATTACCGGCGTCCTGTCCCCTTGTCGTCCCAAAGCCTTGCTCCCATCGCTTTCGGCATCCTTTTAACCTATTTAACCTACTCTCTCTCTTTTTTTTTTAACCTATTCTTTCTAGCTTCTAATAGATGGTGCTTCTATCATTTTTGTTGCTCTTGGACAATTGCCAAGAGAAGAGAAACTGATAACTTGGTCCATTCATCTTCACCCCAAGCGTTCACACTAAACGTTCTGAGCATCATCACACTGTACTGCAGATGGGAAGGAGACATGGCGTGAGAAGAATTAGACTCCGGTTTCCTCCCTCCACCTCTCCTGCCTCTTGGACCACTTCCTCTGACAGTCTTTAAAGATTCCTTTTATTTTTTTTTATATAAATTTTATTTGAAAGCCTTTTAGTTAACCAACATTTCCACTAAACCCATCCCCCAATGGTCTTTTAGTGCTACATGTGCTATTTTTTTATTGGGGTAACTTTGGTTGATAGGATCATATAGGTTTCATTTATAGATTCCTAGATACAAGATTTTTCTTATGGCTAAATAGTATTCCATTTTGTATATGAACCACATCTTCTTTATCCAGTCCACTATTGCAGGACACTTTGGTTGTCTCTATGTCTTGGCCAACGTGAATAATGCTGCAATGAACATAGGGTGCATATATCTTTGTGAATACATGATTTCCAGTTTTTTGGGATATACCTGTATACCCAGGAGAGGGATTGCTTGGTCAGATGGTAACTCTACCAAGTAAAGGCTACATGTGCTATTTAAGCTGTATCCTCTCACTTCATTCTCAGGTCTCTTTGACCTGCAGAAAGTCAAAAATATACCTTTTAAAGCTGCCTGCCTGGAGGATTGACTTTATAAATACCCACTGAATGAAATGGGATGCTGAAATCTACCACTGTTGTACTTTGTACTTTTGGTATATCTTTAAAATCATAATTGCATTGTATTTTTTCTAAATCGGAGGCTACAACCTGCAGGAGTTACTGTGCCAGTGGATGTATTTTGTTTCTTCATTAAATGTGCCGGGGTTTAGCCCCAGCGGGCCCAGGGTTCCCAAAGGTGTGGACGGAGACGGCGAAGAATGAAGGACATGAAGACTGCTGCATTCAGTTGATCAGCATAGCCAGATTCTCCTAAAGATTCCTTTTATTCTGCATTCCCTTGACACTGTTGGCATTTCCCAGGGCTCCCTCCTCAGCTCAGCTCGCTTCCCCACTGAGCTCACCGCCTCCCGTGGATTTTGCATGTTTATGAATCCCAGGTCCACGTCTCTAGGTCTCCGCTCTGTATGAATCCACTACCTCCTGAGTGACGGCGGGTCTGCTTTCACCTTCACCAGGTGAGGCGGCGTCTCTTCTGGCCCCGACCCATTATCACCTTTAGAGAAGCACGAGGAACCCTAGAGGCACCATGGCCAAGGTACCGGCTGGAACCCGCTCAGGTAACCCTCCCCTCTCCTCGGCAGTTTCTTCTGACCACAGGTCACCATCTCAACCGGGAACGGGGGGCCCTGGAGATTGGGAAGTGGGTGAGGGTCCAGGTCCCACTCCTGCCCTATTTCCCATGAAGTCTGCTCACACTCCTCCCCCAGTTAGAGGCATCTCATCCTGGGTCCCTTAGACACAAAGACCATATTTTGTGAACCCCAAATCAGAATACACATGCAGATCACCCCCTCCAGCCCCTGCGACCCTCAGCTGGCAGGCTCTATGGTCAGGTCGGAGGTCATCCTGTGGCTGTGCAGTCAGGACCACCCCCACCGAAATCCCTGAACTTGGCCTGGGGCCAGCCACACCTCCTCACTCAGTGTCCTTGCCAGAGACCATGGTGAAGCGAAACCGGGGAAGCACCTCCTACTCTGCTGGGTGGGCCTGGATCTCCGGAGACAGCCCTTTGGCAAATGGATTTAATTATGAGATTTAACCCCAGAGAGCCTCTTCCTCCCTCTAAACCCAAACTCGGATCTCAGGGGACGGGCCTCCAGCTGATGAGCTTTGAGGGCCCAACTGAGAGATAAGGGGGCAAGATGGACTAGCTGGGGCCAGCTCACCCTTCTCGTGGGAGGAGAGAGGACAGAGAGGGCAGGGCCGTGTGCATCACTGCACTGGGTTCGGACACAGGGGGGTCCAGCCTGTGCCAGGCGTGTCCCTCGTGCCAGGGAATCTAAACCAAGCAGGGAGGATGGTGCCCTCTTTGGGAGATGAGGCGAGGCGAGGCCAGAAGGTTCGTTATTCCTTCTCCCAGATAATGTGATTTTATGAGTTTTCCCAGAGGAAGACTCGCTTAAAAAAAAAATCCCCATCTGAGGATATTTTTCCATTGGTTTTTATAGAGAGTAGAAGAGAGAGGGAAAGGCAGGGAGAAACATGGATATGAGAGAAACACATGGATTGGTTGCCTCCAGCACACACCCTGACCAGGGCCTTGGCCAGGGAAGAGCCTGCAACACAGGTACGTGCCCTTGGCCGGGATTGAAGCCGGACCCTTGGGTCCGCGAGCCACGCTCTACCCACTGAGCCAAACTGGCTAGGGCTGGAAGATTCACTTTTAACTACAGAAATGTGATGGGATACGGAACATGATGGTTCGTGAAAGTGGCTATGAAAGTGATGAAACACCAGTCAGGGTTCTGTTGACGTCTAATCCAGGTATAAATGCCAAAGGTTCCCACTGGAAGGACCCGCTTGGTTTTTGTGGAGACCCGGGTTCCCTCTGCTTCGCCAGCCTCAGTCTATTCACTCCCCATGTAGCCCTCCCCCAGATAAAGTGGAGTCACCCCCTCCCCCACCCCCCAGGATCTGTTCTAAGTCAGAACAGGGGAGAGAGTCAGCTATGACTTTCAACATAAACAACTTAGTATCATGAACTCTGGGCCTTTAGCTAATGTGCCCTCTGCAAGGGACAGTGGAGATAGGTAGGCAGACACCCGCCCTCCCGGAGCCGTCGAGGGGCCACTGGGCAGCACTCGGCAAGCCCTACACTGGGCCTGTCTGGGCAGAGCAAAGAAACAAAAAGCAGAACTCCTCAGCTAATGTGCCTCACATCAAAGTGGAACAGTGGCAATAAAGAACAACCATTAACAGCAGTAATAAGTAGATGGTATCAAATTGAGTCAAAATCAGATTTGAATAAATTTTTGCCAACAAGAGATATCCTGAAATAAAGATAATGCAGAGGGCCAAAATAACAGCTTAGAAAAACATGTCGTGTGTACATTTTTAAAAGATGACAGTATTCATATTTAAAACTAGCGGCCCAGTGCACGAAATTTGTGCGCGTTAAAAGGGACTTCATTAGAGGAAATATCGTAATATTGCTATTTGTCCTTTCTCTATAACAGAAGTGCCAGAGATGAAAGAAAATTAGTAAAATGTATACGAAAATCTCCCTCCTGTCAGAGTCTGGGGCGCACCACAGGACCCAGAGTCAAGTCTCCGCCCACCTGCCCGTGCCTCGAAATTGCACGAGACCCAGACCCGGCTGGCCCCACCCGCATTGGGCGAGACCCAGACCCAGCTGGCCCTGCCCCCATCAAGCCCCTCCAGGCAAGGGGTGCAGCCTTAGGTCCTGCCGAGTGGGGGGGCACAGCCTTAGGTCCCCCGGCCCCAGTGCTGGGGAGAGGATCATGGCCTGAAGTACCCTGGCCTGGTGCCAGGGTGGGGGGTGTAGCGTGAAGTCCCCTGTCAAGCCCACTGGGTGGGGGGCACGGCCTGAAGTCCCCTGTCAAGCCCACTGGGCAGGGAGCATGGCCTGAGGTCCACCATCAAGCTCCTCTGGGCGGAGAGTGCAGCCTGAGGTCCCCTGCCCCAGCCTGGTGCCATGCAGCCTCAGATCCCTGCTGTTCAGTCATTTCATCCCTCACTAACCTCCCTGCCAGCCTTGTCACCCCATGCAGCCTGCTGTTTGGTCGTTACTGTTAGTGTGATGGCATCCCAGACCATTTGTATATTACTCTATTATTAGTACAGATGCCTTTTGTGTCTTTCCATGTGCTCACCAGCGCCCCCTGCACACTGTGCTTCCTGTAGGAGTTGGAGATTTTATGTTAAAAGAATGAGGAACGAAGATGCCTTATTCTTGTATTTTAATGGTTTTTATTACAAAAGTAGCATGCTTGGTGAATCCTTCCAGAATGTTTCCCTAGTCCTATACCACATAGATAATACTTAAAAAAAATCAAGATCATATTTTTCACTCCCCGCCTCCCCTCTTCCTTTAACTTAATACATCCGAGGCCTCATTCCCAGTCAGTTTGGATAGATTTGCCTCGGTCTTTTTCACATCCTAAGCCTTTATCTCATATCGGTGTACTTTCCTGTAAACCGTCTCCCTACATGGATATTTCAAATTGTGTCCACTTGTTTTCACCACTTCAAGGACCTGGTGGGCAGCCTTGCACGTGTCTCTGTGTACACGCCAGTGTGTTTGCGTGGCAGGAATGTCTACAGGGTGGTGCCGAGTTTCGGGCCTGTGTACATTATGTTACCTGATATTCCAAACCGTCCTCCCAACGGCTTCTATTCCAGCTCCAGCCACGTGTCTGAGAACACACCCTCCCTTCCCTCAGCGCAGGATGCTCCGGCAACCTTTTTACTTCTGCCAAAGTGACCGATGAGTGGCGTCTCGCTGTGGCCTGCATTTGCATTTTCTGGCGTCTCATGATGTTAAACATCTTTTCATGTGTTTATCGGCCATTGTCTTCTTCTGTGAATCACCTTTCCAAAGAACATGAGAAATCCCTGTTTATGGAAAATGAGAACCCAGTGCAGTTTGAAGGAGCAGGGATTTTGTTATTGCTTCTTCTTCTGTTTTAATGCTGTTTCTTTTTTTAAAAAAAGATATTTTTATTTATTTTAGAGAGGAAGGAAGAGGGATAGAGAGATAGAAACATCAGTGATGAGAGAGAATCATTGATTGGGTGCCTCCTGCATGATCGGGGATCAAGCCCACAACCCGGGCATGTGCCCTGACTGGGAATCGAACCCTGACCTCCTGGTTCATAGGTTGACGCTCAACCACTGAGCACTGCAGCTGGGCTTGTTATTGCTTCTTTACTCTTCAAGCTGGCGTGGCTCACGGTCGAAGAGTTTGATTCCCGAGGCCATGGTTCAACTCCCGGTCAGGGCACATGCCCAGGTTGTGGGCTCAATCCCCTGTGTGGTGCATGCAGGAGGCAGTGGATCAATGATTCTCTCTCATCATTGATGTTTCTGTCTCTGCCTCTCTCTCCTTCTCCCTCTCTGAAATAAATAAAAATTATATATTTTTAAAAAGGACAGGTGTGGGAAAGGGTGGGAGAGACAGGTTTCAGGCTCAGTGAAGAGAAATGAGGTCATGTTTATTACTCACATTAAAAACTTTAAAAAATTAAAAGCACCCCAGGAAGATGTGGCAAACAGAAAGAAACCTGCAAGCTCTTTTAGAATTTCAGAAAACAAGCAACTTTCATGTCATATAAATTGTTCCAGAAATGTGTTATTACCTATATTCTACGAAGTTTTCAGGAAAGAAAACTATAGTTCAATATCATTTATGACTCTAAGACAAACATAATGAATACGATACTAGAACATATAAATCTGTAATATACTGATGCAAAAACCTGCAATGGTTTCCACGGAATTTAAGAATAATTCAATATATGGAAATTTATGCACATAATACACTATACTCATGGGATAAATAAAAAAGGAAAATTATGATAATCCCATTAGAGTCTAAAAACTCAGCACCTCATCCTAACAGAAATACGGAAATATAGGAATGAAACGTACTGCATTAGGTGTAAGAGTGTGTTTATAAACCAACTGCCAGCAGTAAAATACTGGAGTCAATTTCATAAAGTTAAATAATTTAAGAATTCAAGCTAGCCTCATGAGGTATGGAACCAAAATAAGAAAAAGAAGTATTGAAAAAAATAGGAAAGAAACCCAACACTATGTATTCATGAGTTATTCATTTACTCACTATTGCAAGGAGTAAAAATTCAGTGAAGCCCAGAGGAGTATGAAGAATGAATTCTGTTTCTACAGAGTAACCCGCACAAGTTAGACAACACAGTAGTAAGAGACAGGAGGAAACAACGTTGGAATGTGAAGCAGCGACAAATCTTACTTAAAGGGAAGAGAGAGCATAGCATCCTGAGAGGCCATATTGCCCTGCTGGGTAGGAGGGGATGCAGCAGGATCTATCCTTCTCAAAGGCACATGTTTGTCAATATGATAACAGCAAGAAACTTCCTTCCTCAGGTTTAACTGGAAATATAAGTAGCTCCCCAGGCCCTGCACGCAGAACTGCAAGCAGCCAGAAAGCAGAGGTGGGCGTGGGGGCCGATCTCTGGCCCAGTCACTAGCCAGCATGGAGACAGTAACCAGGACAGGGTCAGTGCCATCATGTGAAGGACTCACATGATTGACAAACACATGAAGACCCCACTGTGTCGCAGAAGGGAGTGTGTCTATAAACATGAAGGCAGGCCCCTCTTTTTTTTTTAAAATTTTGTTTCATTGCTTAAAATATTACAAAGAGTAGTACATATGTCTACTTTGCCCCCGTCCCCTTCCCATTCCCCCATCCTCCCCTACCCCCCAGTGTCTTGTGTCCATTGGTTATGCTTAGATGCACGCATACAAGTCCTTTGATCTCTTACCCCACCCCCGCAACCCTCCCCAGCCTTCCTGCTGTAGTTTGAGTCTGTTCGATGTTGCTCAAGGCTGGCCCCTCTTGATGAAAGAGCAGAGACATCCTATATAATAAAGATGTAATATGCAAATTAACCCTCACACCATCACAAGATGGGGGTGACCAGGCCGGCATGGGGGGCAGTTAGTGGCAGTCAGGCCAGCAAGCAGAAGCAGTGAGGGGTGATCAGGCCAGTGGGGGGGAGCATTTAGGGGCAACCAGGCAGGCAGACAGGTGAGTGATTAGGAGCCAGTGATCCAGGATTGTGAGAGGGATCCTGGATTGGAGAGGATGCAGGCTGGGCTGAGGGGAACCCCCCTTATGCACAAATTTCGTGCACTGGGCCTCTAGTCAAAAATACTCATCTGACAACGGTGTAGCAATATGGACAATACTTGTCCTACAATATTACATTTAAAAAATAACAGACACAGTTATAGCATGCTATGAAAGCCACGTAAACAAGAATATGCATATGAAAAATTACTGGAAGTAAATGAAAAAAATCAACAGTATTTGGGATGATTTCTTTCTTTCTTTTTTTAAAATATTTTATTGATTTTTTACAGAAAGGAAGGGAGAGAGATAGAGTTAGAAACATCGATGAGAGAGAAACATTGATCAGTTGCCTCCTGCACATCTCCCACTGGGGATGTGCCCACAACCCAGGTACATGCCCTTGACCGGAATCGAACCCGGGACCCTTCAGTCCGCAGGCCGATGCTCTATCCACTGAGCCAAACCGGGTTCGGCGTGGGGGTGGGGGGGGGTGATTTCTGAGCAACACAGGAAGCTGCAGCATAAGAGATTCTAAGCAAGGGTAGCTATGCAACATTATCTATGGAGGGGAGGAAAAATAATTTTTCCTCTACCCTTCTGCGTTCTTATCTGAGACCCTTGTAATAAAAGAACAACCAGAAAAAAAGGAAAGTTCATTGGCACATATTCTTCATGAACAAATGGGTGAGACCCAGGGAAAAATGAGTAACTCCCTAAGGAGGCTTCGAAGTCAGTCTTAAGCACCATTTTCATAGAGAAAGGGGAGGCGACGCAGGCCTCCTTGAGGGGAGTAAATCATTGTTTTAGGAAAGATGAAGGATCCTTGGAAGAACAGAGGGGAGGTATGACAGTTTGTGACAAAGTGTGCCTGGGTGTGGTGTCAACTTCAAGTCTCCTCTCCTGTGACAAGAGCCAACCTCCCTGGTCGATGACACTCGGGGAAGGGGACGCAGGACAGCCACTGCCTTTTGGAGGATCTGTCCGTAGGCAGATGAGGGGAGCTCAGAGATAGCCTCCTGCATTGCTGCTTTACAAGTGCCTACAGCTCAAAACAGTGGGTGATCAAAGAGGCATCTTCGGGGTGACATAGTCTGCTGCCTGACACCGACTTGGTTGAACAGACAACTAACCAACTCCTCAACTCAGGAAGGGTTGAGCAGGGACCGGACAATCCTTCTGGGACGGTAGATGCAGTGGGCTGGACGGAATGCATGCTCGCTTGCTTCTGAGCTTGCAATAGTATAAATAAAATGGCCCTGATCATCTTGGTGCCTATTGATGGGTTATTGGATGATTAGCAAAAGATTCTTGTGACTAAATATGTGATAGCAAAAATTCAACAGCCACCAGAAACCTAAGAGATGCCCAGTTTGACTACAGCCTAGTTAGCTCTGGGCATTGTCAGTTTGTTTGTTTAAAATCATTAGGCAAAAAATGATGTGCAACTTGTGAGACATTACAATTCTTGATGTATTCTAATGTTGCTTATTTTATTCCCAAATGTTATAATTAGATGGTCTACTTCACCAGAGCATCGTGGAAGGTCTAGCCACCATGACCAGAGAAGACATACACCGGCTCCTCTCTGATTGGCAGGCCTGGGAGACGGTGATGGAGCAACTTTGCTTGGAAAGGTAATCCCAGAGCAGCGATGTCTGGGGTGAAATCACCAGAGTGAGAGTTCTGTGAGGGCAGGGACTGGGCTGGTGTGCTCGCTGCCGGAATTCTAGCCCCGGGAACGGCATCTGGCACACACCTGGCACGCAGTGACTTGATGGGGAAGGATGTTGGAAGCCACTCCTGCTTCCCTGGGGAGGGGTCAGCTGGCAGGCCTACCTGAGGCTGCTGATGGCCTTGCCGGGGAGCAGAGGGCTCCGACGCCATTGTCAACAGTTCCTCTGGGGCCTTGGGGCTGCTTGGGCTCAGTTGGGTTTTCCTGCGAGCCCTGCCTCCTTTCCCACAGACACACCCTCCAATATCTAAACCCACGCCCCGTCCGTGGAACGAACCTGAGGGCCATACAAGTCAGACTCTCACGAGTCATAGGAAGTCGACTGCAGCATCCGGCACAGGCCCCCGGTGTCCACTTTGGAAGCCCCCCATCCTGACAGACTCCTGCCTGTTACCACGCGAGCGGAGTAGAACCCGCTGTTCCCAAGCACGACCACCCTCTGTTCGAAATTTACTTCCAGTTTCCAAAATACACGCGTGTCGGAGTGAATGGCCATGAGCCCTCCCCTAGGGGAGAGGTGCTATTTGGTGTCTCCCTGCAGGTCCCCCCACCTTTTTTTTTAAGAATGTAGGTTATTTTACGATTTTTTAATATACGTCTAATACATGCACATGATACAAAACTTGAAAGGAACAGAAGGGCAAACAGTAAAAAGTGTCCCCCAAGCTTTGGCCCCAGGTTCCCACTCCCTCCCCAGAAGCAACCACAATTTCCAGGTAGATCCCCTTTAAATAGAAAAAATGGAAATGGAGACATGGCTTCCACAGGCTCTTATACTCTATTTCCCAGGACAGACCTGCTCACAGCCTGTACAGATGCACAAATTACGCACAGAGGTATGTTTATTAAGAAAAGATTTGGTGACGAAAGCCAGTGATGCGTTTATATTGTGTCTGATTCACCACACTGGTGTCACAGCCAGTCAGGCCGTGCAGGGGGCTCGCATCACCAGCTCCTGCCGCCAGGGGGCCAGGCCCGAGGGCCACCCTCTGTCACACTGCTCCCCAATTGTACCTTGATTCCCAGGGCGCTGCTCCCTGAGTGCGTTCGAGACCTGAGATGACCTAGAAGTCTTCAGCCTCAGGCTGGGAAAACACGCGTGTGCTGTTTCTGCCCACAGGGATGAAGCCAATGCGCTGTACTATATCGTGGTCCAGGAGCTGATGCGACGGGAGGAAGGGTTCGGGCCATCTGGGAACCTGTCCCAGGAGGAGATGATGTTTCTCCGAGAGTTCCCCTTGCGGAAGCATAAGCTGGAAAACGCTATCAGCGAACTTCGCAGCATCGCAGACCAAGTTGACACCACCCACAGGATGCTCACCAAGACCAGCCTGGTGGCCAGCTCCTCGGGGGCGGTGTCCGCCGTCATGACCATCATGGGTGTGGCCCTGGCACCGGTGACAGCAGGAGGAAGCCTGCTGCTCTCAGCAGCAGGGCAGAGCCTGGGGTTAGCAGCTGCCGCCACCAACATTTTGACAAGTGTCTTAGATAATAGGAGCAATTCGGCAGCAAGAGACAGAGCCAGCAGACTGGCGGGTCTCCCCACAGCCCCGGAGGCTGGAACCGGTGAAGAGACACATTCCTCTAAAGGAATTTTTGTTCAGAGATGTGTTAACACTCTCGGGAGCATCAGGCAGCTTCGTGCCTTCCAGAGGGCCCAGGCCAACCCCGGCTTCATTGAGAGGGTCAGGAACTTCGTGGCCACAAGGCGTGTGCCCTTCTGGAGGGCCACAGGGGTGCAGAGGGCGGCAGGGGCGCCTGCTCTGGCTATGACCGGCGGTGCCCGGATGCTGAGCGTAGCTGGGGCTGGCTTCTTGCTCATGCATGATTTGAGAAGCATCCAGGAGAACTGGAGGCACCTGGAAGAGGGGGCGAGGACGGAGACGGCCGAGGAATTGAGGGCGCTCGCCCGGGAGCTGGAGCAGGAGCTGGACCAGCAGTCCCAGCGCTATGAGCTGACCATCCAGAAGCTGGAGAGGAGCTCGTCACTGAACCAGGAAAGAGGAAGAAGGACAAGGCTGCCGAGGATGAGTGGTGCCGAGGATGAGTGGGGATGCTAACCAGGTAGGCATGGAAATAGGCTCATAATCACAACTGCCTTTTCCAGGGAGGGCTTTCCCACACTCCTCCCTTGAATGTGGCCCCTCCTGCTATTTCCAGCATCCCGTGCTTTTCTCCCAAAGTGCTGGCCATGCATTTCTTTCTTCCTTTCTTTCTTTCTTTCTTTCTTTCTTTTTTTTAAATATATTTTGATTTTTTACCGAGAAGAAGAGGGATAGAGAGTTAGAAACATCATTGAGAGAGAAACATCAATCAGCTGCCTCTTGCACACCCCCTACTGGGGATGTGCCCGCAACCAAGGTACATGCGCTTGACCGGAATCGAACCTGGGAGCCTTCAGTCCGCAGGCCAACGCTCTATCCACTGAGCCAAACCGGTTAGGGCTGACCATGCATTTCTGAAATCACCTGTTTGTTAGGTACTGGCTGGCTGTCCTTATGCAGAGCGCCCCCTGGGGGCGGCGGGTGAGTAGTGCTGGGCACACGGCAGGTGCGCCCTAGTTGTGTTGAATGACGTGAGTCTGGCATTTCATGATAAAGGTGACACTTCAAATGAGTTGAGAAAGGATCGTTATTTGAAAAGGAGTTTGTATTCCTAGACTCTCTTATTCAGAAACATAACTATTTGTAGAAAATGAAAACGACTATCAGGAAAATGAAGCAGAATTTCAAAATTCCTCCTTAATTCTACAGAGAGGGTGGGGTGGGGCCAGGTAGCAAGGCCACTGCCTGAGACGCTGGAAAGAGACAGAAGACTGTGAGGCTCATAAATTCATTCATTCACTCATTAGTTCATTCATTGACCCATTAATTGGGACCAGTGATGGGGCCAAGGACGAAGAAAGTGTTCCCAGTCTCGTCTGCATGTTGAAATCGCCTAGGAAGCTTTAACACACACCGATGAGTGGGTCTAACTGAAGTGGGAAAGGACCCGGGCTTTGGACACTTCAAAGGCTCTCCTAGTGGTTCTGCGTGTGGCGAGTTTGGGAGCCCCTGTTTTAAAGGGAGGGGCTTTCTTCCCATTCCTCTACAATCGAACCTCTTTTCTCAAACGTCTCCCATCTCCAACAACCTGGTTCCAGGCCAAGTTGCTCACAGAAAAAAGTCTCCCTTGTGGATCAAAACTTCCATTTTCGAACAGACAACCCTCTCAAGTGAGGTATCACCATGACAAAAGGCTTCTGGCAGGCAACCGGCAAAGGAGGGAATGCTTTGGTTGCTGGCAATTAGCATAATTTTAAAACATAAAGAAGCCACCAGCCCAGGCTGTTTTGATGCGGAGGATAGAGCATCAGCCAGCAGACTGAAGGGTCCCAATTCAGTTCTGGTCAAGGGCATGTGCTCGGCTGCAGACTCAATCACCAGATTCCATCTCATCATTGATGCTTCTCTCTCCCTCCCTCTCCCTTCCTCTCTGAAATCAATAAAAATATATTTAAAAAATAAAATAAAGAGGCATCAATTAGCTAATGCTAATGTTGCTAAGGGTGTGAAAGTGCTCACAAAACAGCAATCACAGGCAACCGAATAGGTAGAAAAACTGTTGTGGATTGGATAAACGAAAAGCAGTTAGCCTGTGGTAGCATTTCAGTGGTAGCATTTCAGAGACAGTGATATATAAAAAATTCCTTTAAGATTAGTAGGGGGTGGTTTGATAAATTTAAGAGAAGAAGTGTTTATAAATTAAACAGTATATTAGACATAGCCTAATATATAAAAAGCCGGGGGCTGTCACAGACTAAACGACCAGATGGACAACTGGGGCGACCAGGCAGGTAGGGGGGTAAGTGAGAGACGACCAAATGACTGAATAGCAGGCTGAATGGGGTGACCAAGCCGGTGTGTGTG